CCTAACATTCTGTGATCCTGTGATTAAGACGTAATTTTTTAAGACTTGGATGAAAAAAGTTTGGTTTTTTTTTGAACAGCACATTTTTAATTCTGCCCTCTTTTACCAAATGCAAAAGATAATTTTGTTTAATTTACCACAATGAATACTCCTGTATCTATGAATAGTAAACATTTATACTGACTACTGTAAAGAAATTAGGGTGAAAAATTAGAAATCTGTGTTAAGACTAGAAAAGCCACACTACCGCAAACGCTGAAGTTCCTTTTTGCTAGATTCTTCTGCCATCTGTAAAACACGTAGTTTCTCTTCATACTGATCTTTTTCAGATTGTCTCTGAGTATCTTGTTCCACTTTAATCTTCTCTAGATCAGCTAATCGGTTCTCGATTTCTGACCTAAGAAATTATTCAACATGCATACAAGAATCATCACAAAATGTCAGAACTGTTTAGCTGCTAAGAATGATATTTAAGTTACTCAAAACACTCCTCTTTTAGAAGTTGAGCAGTAAATCAACAAACATACTTTTCATCCTGTAAGGCTGCAATTTTTTCAAAAACTTCCTCTTTGGCAGCTTGCACTTTATGAATTAGCTCCCGATCCTTTTCTACTAAAAGCACCTTATGACGTTCAACAGCTGCCTTAAGAATTTTCTTGTCTAACAGCAATCCTGCATCATACATTAAAAAAAGTTAAAATGTCGTTATTGATATCAACTTGATGAAATCCAGTACTAAAATAACTATAAATGGATGAAAGGGAACTAAAAATCACAATTCAGATGACAGAATGAATTAAGAGGGAAAAACAGGAGAAAAAAAAAAAAAAGCAACAAAACAACAAGAAAACCAGAAGGTACATGGGCTTTCCTAGTCTAACAGCAACATTTCAGAAACTTTTGAAGAGTAACCAGTACACTGGAATCTCTGGCTTTAAGGGTTTATTAATATAACATAAGAAGGGTTTATTAATATAACATAAGAAGGGTTTATTAATATAACATAAGAAGTAATTAAGTATTTGATATTGTTATTGATTTAAATTCTAAAGCAATGCCTGCTAAGCTGTTGTGTGTGAATTTAAAAAATAGTGTTCCACAATAACTACAAAACGGTCAAGTAAAAACATTTGTTGGTTTGGGTCGGTTTGGTTTTTTTTGTGTTTTGTGTTTTTTTTTTTTTAATAGAAAAGTTAATAGTAAACAGTAACTGGCTACCAGTGAAACCATAGTAACTTGGCTACAATAGATCTCAAATTTCAATCCATTCATATTACCAAATGAGGCAATTCTATCATGATGACTTTATAGGCAGGGACAAAAGATGCAAAGTTAAAACTTGTGACCAAGAGACCTGTGTTCAGGGGAGAACAAGCCAATATGCTGTAGCAATGATTCCTAGTTATTTAGCTAATTCGGTGATGCAAACTGGATTCCACAGCAAGTTCAGGTTAGCTTAAAACTTTTCTGTCCCTAGTTTTGTGCTTCACAGGGTCCAACATTTTTAGTTAGCAATACACTACTGTGTATACAATAATACAATAGTGGTGGTTTACTGTCTCAGCCATGGACTTTTCAGTTGCTCTTGGAGAACTTAATATTAAAGCAAGTAAACATACAACTATTCTGGGAAGACAAAGGTACTATTTTGGAGTTAAAGAAAATCAGTGAGGACAGTCCACTTAAAAAGCTTTGTAGTGATTTAAAACAATACAACTAGTACTAAAAAGCTTGGGCCTTTTCACTGCAGAAAGCTATTTCAAGTTGCCTACATACTCAGCTGTATTATTGTTCTGGTTTGGGCTAAAACAGAGCTGGTTCTGTTCAATGATTTAATTTTTCAGCTAAAGCTCTTCTAATTAACCAGCATGAAGTTAGCAGCATGTTTTCACAGACAGCCTGCTTTTAAGCAGTGATAACACTCCATGTTTAGAGTTACTGCCAGGGATTGGTGTGCAGACCAAGGCCACTGCTAAGCTTGTGTACCACATGGAGAGGGGCAGAAAGTAAAGCCACACCTGCAGGATGTGGACAGAAAGTAAAGCCACACCTGCAGAGAAGTGGACGAGATAAGTGACCCAAAGATTCCCCAATGGGGTATTCCATCCCATAGCCGGCACATCCAGTAAAAGCTGAAGGATCAGGAGGGGCAACACCATTTTATTATTGATATTCGGTAGGAGTAAAATTGAAGCTGTTTTCCTTTTCTAAGTGCTAAGTCTCTCTCCCTTGTTCCCCTTCTCCTTCCCTTTGGGGGCAGGGGGGGGCACGCACAGTGGTGTAACAGAGAGCATCTGTTACCAGTCTGGGGGCAGGTGTAACCCCAAACTGCAACAATTATGCAGCTTACAACGCTGCCTATTTTCTTCAAAGAACAAGCTAGAAATTGTATTTTGTTTCACATGGCAGCCTTACCCAATTTTTACCAATTCCATGGACACAGAATCAGAAAACAAATCAAATCTCTGAAATTTTTTTCAAGTCAGGTGTGAAAGACTCCAGAATTTGGCAATAAGGGACAAAAATAACAATACGAAGCTCATGATTTGAAATAGATTATTCTCAAATTGTGTAACAAATTCACTAATTTAGATAAATGAAACATTTTTCTGTAACTGTTCTTAGCCTAGTAGACCAAGTGAAACCATACTGTTATTTCAGATACAAAATTAATTGTCAGATCTATGACCCAGAACACAAGTAGAAGGTGAAGGCTGCTCCGGAACGTTTGGAGGAAAAATAATTATAGTATTCTAACTAGAAGTTACAAAAGAAACCGTTAGAAATTAATTGCACATTTTACCATCCATTTCACTTTGAATCTTGTTTCTCTCTCTTTCTATCTCACTCTTTGTTCTTGCTGCCTCCAGTTTGACATTCATTACTTCCAATTTATGTGAATGCTGAAGTTCTTCTACCTATGAATTAGGGAAAAAAAAAAACCAAACACAAATCAAGTCAGATAAATACATATATATTCACAGCTTTACTCTACATTTTTCATATGATACTTTGCTAATAAGAAAATCTGCCAAATAATCATTGGCTATGCTTATTTTAAATGTATTTTAAATATTTTGTTTCATCCCACTGCTTTCCTGAAGCAAATCCAGAATATCCACTCTTGTAGATAGTTTTTAATGGTGATTATAGAGATACTGTAACACTAAAGCTATTGACATGATCCAATTCCACAAATCATTATCAGTGGTATTACAGGTTTTTATTAATTCCTCAAGTCACACACTGAAGATTCTTGACTGAGTTGTCAGTCTTTTTGAAATGTAAATTTTATATATTCGCTGATTAAAAGATGAATTAATAAATAAATAAAGGAAGTGCTCAAACAGAACATATATTCCAGGAGCCAGGCTGTCTCACTATTGGCACCTACAACCACCCAAATATTGAAAGCTACATTGTAGAAAAAGTACTCTTCCAAGAAGCCTTGGTGATACGTGCACAGATGTTCAGGATTGCCTGTGAAAACTTGGTGTCTGAGTAAATACTATATGTTCTAGAAGCTAGCCTCTGAATATTGGTGTAATTCTGAAAGACTACTCCTGGGAAATACCTTGATATGACACTGATCCAAACTGCACAGTACCCTGATGCCTCACTAACTCAGGCTTTAGCATGTCAGTTTACACATACTTCACTCGTGACTAAAGATCCCTTGAAGTCAAGCTAACATAAAGGTAAATTTAATCTCCCTAAGTAAAGCAAAACAGTGACATACAAAACCAGATTATTAATTGCTCCCCCAAGTAATTTCAATTTGGCAACTACTTAATAGTCCTCCTGATCTCCCCAGAGTACTACACTATCATCTCAAAATCCAGGTCTTCATAGTTCGGAAGTGCACTTTAAATCAAATACTTCTCTACAGCTGTGACACATCAAATGGCCTCAAAAGAAGGAGCTTTAAGACCATCAAGTCAAAGACAATGACTATTGCATGAAAACCTTCTATAGTTTAGGCATTTGTATGCAGTAATTACACGGTCAATGAGAATTAAATATCTAGAGGAAAGCGCTTATAATGAAAATCCATTCACAGTGACAAATGTAATTACAACCTGCTAGCATATACAAGAGGCAAAAGGTTAAGAATGACACAGTAGTAACTACACGGTGGATCTGCTTGCTTAAATACTATGTTGAGAACATTTCAGGGCCACTTGCGAAAAATTAAGGTGGCTTTTTTCAGGCACAAAATCTGGAAGACAAATGTGTGCACTTGCGCTCAGAAAAAAGTTTGAGTGGGTGCAGGAGGGGATGGAAGTTAGTACAGAAATTAGTTTCTACTTTCCTCCCTTCAAAAAACAACACTGAACACTTCATTTTTTTCCTACTTCTGGAGTTGAGCAGAGAATACCCATTGATACAAAAAGAAAAGACACCAACAATTTTCTATATATTCTGACAGACAACTAGAAATTGTTTAACAGAAGGCTTGCCCCCCTTTTTTATTTATGTGAGACAAGTATGGCACATTTTATAAAGCCTCTTAAACTACTGGTAAAAGTGTATCCTATTCTTACCATAAACTGGAACTTTTTTTGATTAAGGACCAAAATTAAGATACTTCAGACTCATAAATGTGCACTGTAAAGCCTGCTTTGAATTAAGTCTGACATTGTTAAAGAACAACTACGGTAGAAAAAGTGTTCTTCCTGTATTGTGTCTTTCTTGAGGCACGTTATGACAATATTAACTGCTGTAGCCATAGCAAATGCATGTTGATGTTATTTTGGAAAGTATATTCAGAAATGCAGACATTGTTAAAGAACAACTACGGTAGAAAAAGTGTTCTTCCTGTATTGTGTCTTTCTTGAGGCACGTTATGACAATATTAACTGCTGTAGCCATAGCAAATGCATGTTGATGTTATTTTGGAAAGTATATTCAGAAATGCAGGATAGCTTTGAGTCAACAGAGAGCTTGAAATCATTTCTGCATTCAGCTAGATATAAAAGACCAAAGTTACTGGCTTTACAGTTAGTTCAGAACTAAATAAAGCCTCTCCAGAAAGGTGAGAAAACACTGGGGATTAAATTTGCTGACAGGAACTGACAGGTATGATAAAAATTTATTACCTGGTATTCTCTCCAGAAAGGAGGGAATAAGAGATAGAAGAAAGCTAGTATACCCAAGTAACTATTTTATCAGGACTAGTATCCTGACTCCAATTCACATAAAGCCAGGTAAGTATTCCACAACATTTGAAGGTAAAATGGTTTACTAGTGTTTTGATTTTTCTTGTTTGTTCAAACAATCATATATGAAACTGTATAAAGGATCTGTAAGCTTTGCATAGCTGATAAGTCACTGCAACCAGATAAAACTCTGAATCTGGCATCCATACTAAACTGATTATGCTGAAATACTAAACATTGATGTCAAATTTCTTAAGCACTTTCAAGGTTTTCCCTGAACTTGGAGCCTTTTGATCTTTTTTTTCTTAAATGTTTTTGTGGAAATTTCTGTAAATTTTTTTTAAAAAAAAAGCATACAAACATAGAACAAAACCTCTAAGACCTGGTGCCAACCCAACAACTAAGATACTCAAACATGTTCCAAGACAATGATCTACGTAAAATGATACGATGCAGTCCCATACAGAAATGTTTCTGTACAAGCTATGCTCACATTAGCCCAAGACAAATCTTATGCTAATGGCACTATCCTGCTTCTAACCACCTAAATCTCTGCAGGTGATTCCAATGCAGCTTGCTTTCTGTAGCTAACAACAGCCCATTCAGAGGACACTTTTTAAGATCTCCAAAAGCTACGGCTCCATTCAAAAAAAAAAAAAAAAAGAGGAAAAAAATCCATTTAAAGATCTATTGCACTTCACACACTTTTTGAAAACATAATGTTTGTTTCCATCAAATAAGGCTGTCTATTTTCATGAGTACTAAAAGAACAAATACAAAGACTTCTTCGAGCCCTCTTCTGTTTAGACAAACAGATCTAGAAAATGAAATAAAAAGAGCATAAACTCAATTTTTAAAGATGCTTTTAGGGATGATGTAAAGTTATATACTCTATAATCAACTGTAATCAGGGAAAAAAATTCCAAACCTATTTTAAGTCATAGCAGAAGACATTGTTACTTTATTCTTAATGTAAAATGTAAACAGAAAAACTTAACAGGATATGAAAAGTATATTCCAGATACTATAAAAACACTTACTTTAGCAGCTAGGGAGATAACTTCTCGTTCAGATTTGTGAAGTTTTCCAGTTAAAAGAATGTTTTGTTCACGACTCATCTGCAGTTCTTTCTCTAATCGATCAATCTGTAGTTCAGCAGACTTCTTTTCTGCCTTGAATAAAGGACGTATTTTTAAGACTTCTGGAGCAGGGCTGTCTCTTGCTATTCACTTGAAAGATCAACTTATATGGGCTTTTCGATATTATTGACCCTTTATATTATATAGTAATATATAAATATTTACCTTTGCTCAACAGTATGTTCCAACATAACAAGCATCTTCAATTTTACTCCAAAGTCACTGTGTTTACCAACACTGTTTGCACAGAACCACCCACAATTTCAATCCTACCTCACAACAGGCAGAGGTAATCTGACTTGGTTAGAAGGCAGCAGGTATTCCCACCAAGAAATTACTAGACTGTAAACACCACTGACTATAAATGGTGCTCAAAAAGATAGCATATATTTACCTATGCAGTTATACTAGCTGAAGAATTAACTTCACAGAGAGGGAAAAAAATGCAATTACTGTATTATAGACTCAAGACCCTGAGCTTTACTAAGTTTCAAAAAGGTTATTTAACCTACAGTTTCACCTTCCTTTTTCCAAACTGATCTATTTCCAACAGGACTTTTAAAGTTTTATAAATAAATAATATTACAGCATTTTTAAAGTTGTGATCAGAGCATTTTGTACACAGCACTGATAACAGTAAAAAGAAAAATGTTACAGCTGTGTGAGAAATCTACATGGACAGACCTACTACCTGGACAGACAGCAAGAACTGACAGGAGGACTGAAAACCACACATGAGGAACACAGTGGAACCCTGGGAACATACAAAAGGACAGAAATACCATAGGTTCTATAGGGGAGAGCAACGGCCAAGAACTAACGATTGCAGTAATGGGTTGGAGAAAGGAGAGAGACACGTAAGGCAAGAAAGAAGACAACACACAAGGAAAAGAATAAGGAAAAAGGGAAGAGCCATATGACATTTTTGAAAAGAATTTTGAAAAGAACCTGTAGCAGATTATTAATATATTGTCATCAGTGTCCTGATTTTCAGCTAGGATAGGTAGAGCATGGGACTCTTAATCCCAGGGTTATGGTTCGAGTCCCACGTCGGGCGCCAAAAAGCCTGGGGTGGTTCAGCCCCAAGCGGGAACCGGGCTCCAGGCGGCCACTCGCTCATCCACCCAAACCCCCTGCACTGGGGGGAGAAAAATACAAAACCCCGTGGGCTGAGATAAGGAGAATTTACTACAGGAACGCAGGAGGAACAGCAAACAGCAGCAGTAACAACAGGTATAACAACAGATAACGAATTGTACCAAGGAAACAGATCCCTGCACAGGCTCCCGCGCGCCCCCCGCCCCGCTGCCCGGGCACTGGGTCAGCCTGGCAGTGAGTGACCCCCGGCTGGGCCGGCTGCAGGGGATAAACCAACCCTATCCCAGCCCAACCAGGACAATCAGTTTCTAACTCCAGGCAAGTGACAAGTGATGACATGACCATCCTACTGACTGCACAAAAGGAGATCACTTGCATGTTTAGAAAGGAGATCATTCAACAGAATCTCTCAGTTGAGCTCTCCACCTTTCCAAAGTCGAATTGGCAGTACATGACTCCCAAACCACTTAAAATTTCTTTTTAAACCTGAAATGTACAAATTCAAATTACGGAGTCAATGGCAAAATTATCAGTGACAGTTCTTTCAGGCCAAGCATTATTCTTGCTACACTCTACAAAGAGCCAAAATTAAAAGACAAAAAAAAAGAAACAAACAGAATCTTACCTCTAGAGACCTTGCCACAGCCTGCATCTCAGCTAACTGTCGTACTTGTACTCTTTGGACATTTTCTGCTTGCACAGCATAATTGTGTCTCTCTGCTCTTAGTTCTGCTATTTCTGCTTCTAAGCTTTTTAATTTCTGATGCAGTTGTGCCTTTTCTCTAGAGAGTGCCTCCACACGTTTACTGTCCCTCGTAGGATCAACACTAAGCAGCTGGTTACGGAGCTCTTCTTTATCTTTATTCAGCCTTGCAACCTGATAGTTGTCAATCAGAACAGTAAAAACTTTTGTATCAGTTAAGTGTCAGACAGCAACAAATACAGCAGTTTACAAGTCAGGAAAGAGCAGCAGTGTGCTTTTAAAATATTAAGAAATTACGTTCACATTTATTTTCTTTCTTAGAACAGGAAAATCAACAGACTCATTCTTTAATGCCTTTTTTCCTTCAGTTTTCACTGATCAGGCCGTCCCTGTAGCAGTCTGCAGGAGTAAAGCAGTACCCAGAGTAGAGGAAGAAAATGTTAGGTATCATTTAACCCACTGGACAGAAAGTCCTTGGAATGGATCCATGTGTTTAGAAGGACCTCACTGGTACCATTGCAAGGTTATTCTCTATCTTACTTAAAGTCATGGCAATCAGAGAAAGTTCCTGACGACTGGAAAGGGACAGACAGCACACCCATCATCAAGAGCAAAAAGGTCAAGAAGAAGGATGCAGGTAACTACAGGACAGTCAGCTTCTCTTCAGTCTCTGTGAAGGTTATGAAGCAAAAACTCTTAAAAGCTGTTTCAAAACACATGAAAGACAAGGTGATGGAAAGCAGGGTTTACCAAGGGCAAATCATGCCTGACCTACTTCTGTTTTCTAGAATGAGGTTAGTGACACTGCAGACAAGGAGAGCAATGGATCTAATATTCTTTGATTTTAATGAGGCCTTTGATACAGCCTCCCGTAATCTTCTCTCTCACCAAACTGGTGAGATATGGGCTGGAAAAGTAGATGATAAAGTGGGTGGAAAACTGGTTGGGTTGCCAGGCTCAGAGAGTAATGAACAGTAGTGCAAAGTCCAGCTGACTGCCTGTAATGAGTGAGGTCTTCCTAAGATCAGTACAGGGTTCAATACTGATTGATGTCCTCACTAGTGACCTGGATGATGGGATGGAGTACACTTGCATCAAGCTTGTGGGTGACACCAAAGCAGGGGGAAATGGTCAACATGCTAAAAAGCAGAACTTCTATTCAAGAGCAATCTGGACAGGCTGAAGGAATGGGCTGGCTGGAACCCCTTCAACAAGAGCAAGTTACGCATCTGGGATGGAGTAACCCAGTGTAACAGTACAGGCTGGGGACAACTGTCTAGGTTGCAGCTCCATGGAAAAGGATCTGGGGATCCTATTGGACAACAAGTTGAACATTAGTCAGCAAAGTACCCTTGCAACAAAAATGACCAACAGCATCTTGGCAGATTGGCAGAAGGGTAGCCAGCAGATCCAGGGAAGCGATCCTTTCCCCCCTCCCTCCCTGTACTCATAAGACCGCACCTGGAATTTGTGTCCAGTACACAAATAATAATGACAAACTGGAGCACAGTGGATGGCCAACAAGATGGTCAGAGGGTTGGGGAACGTAACATAAAAGGACAGCCTTAGAGAACTATGCCTCTTCAGCTTGGAAAAGGAGATGATGCATGACGATGGGAAGAGAGGCACATGTTGGAACATGCAAAATTCCCATTTCCATTAGGAAAAAAGTATACCATGAAGATGGTTAAATACTGGAATAGTTTGTGCAGGAAGGTTGTACAATTTCAGTCCTAGCATATGTTCAAGACTCGCCCAGACACTGCCCTGAGCAACCTATCTTATTACACTTCAATACTTTAAGCAGGATATTGGACTACAAGGAGGTCTCTGCCAACTTATGACTCCATAATTCTTTAACCAGAAGAGAATTCAAATCTGCTAGTAACTCAACACAGCAAACATGATTGGGCCCTGCCAGACAGAAAAAAAGAAAAATTAAAAAAACCTTTCTGTTACAAGGCAGTACAATAGGAACAAACTCATCTTGAGACTATAACTAACACACATACTATAAATATATAGAATCTAGTGTTTCAAAATTATTTACATGGACTGAATGTAATACTGGGGGAAAAAGAGTGAATAAGGAAGGTATGTAAGAGTTCTTTTGATATTTGAAGATTAGTCCAAACTCTGATCTGCAGTAGTGCTTTTAGAAGTTGCATCAGTGATCTTTACGGAGCAAAGCCAATTTCTGCAGCAAAAGCCCTCCAATCCCCTTTTATGAGGAAATTCAAACGCTTATTGCATGACACGGCCAAGCCATCATTTAAGAACTTGGATGTATTTGTAGCCTTCTTGTCCTAAATGGCACAGAAGGTTAAAAAGGCTCTATGAGAGAGAAACTTCATTACATGGTGCCCCGGGCTCAAGGTAGTTTCATTCTCTGTAAGTGTGCTAATTAGCAGCAGGACTAGCACAGACTCAACCAGCCCACAAGACAGGCAGGCTGTAAAGCGGCATGTGGGTTTAGCTCTGGGAAGGACAACTGTTCTGTTTTTAATGTGTTGCATTTGCAAATTTGGATTGATTTTGAAAGTGATGATTGCTTTGATTTGTGTCTCATGCTTGGACTAATACACTCAAATCTGACACCTCAGGATATACACTCCCAGACAAATACTTAAATGAATATGCAAATGACATATGCAACACTCATTTACATTGCTGCATACATTTAAAACATAGATAAGATAGTAATTTAGCTACATTTTTGAAATTACAATTCTGAAACGATTCATGAATGGTTTATTCAAGAGTAATGCAACTGAAATAGTTTTTAGCACCCTTTTGACCACCACTGTCATGATCCAACTTAGTTGGAAAACATACACTCGGCTGGTACTAACAGTATCTTCTGCTGCCTTCTTCTTGGATTAGTTGCCAAAGAAGTAATTTAAAATCTAAATTTACATTGGTTGCTCAGATAACTTATTAATTTCAGATTAGTGTACTGTCTTGAATTCCATCACATGTGATTAAAAAAAGCAGTAACCAGAGCTACTGGCTGTCATTCATCAGAAGTCAAGTCTATTCTTACTTGTAATAGCACAAGTGATATTGCAGCACATCACTGAACCAACCTACAGAGACGGCTTTAGGCTAAGTCATAAAAGTGTTGTGAGAATTAAGAGAATGGAAAAAAACACTACCTTACAAAATGGTGTCAAACTGACAACCCACCAAGTACCAACGTTTTTACAACGTTCAAGCAGCTTTGTCAGACATATTTTAAGCTATTCTAACATTCTGCATACCTCAGCCTCATATATGATTTTCTTCTCTTCTAAAATACGTGCATGTTCTTCATTTTGATGTTCAAA